CCCTGCCCCTCGCGGCGCCCTGCGCGGCCGGCGGCCGGCACAGGCTTGCCGCAGCTCTCGGCACACCTGTGCAAGCGGTCAGCCAAGCCCGGACTCCGGCGGATGACGCAGGCACGGGCCGTCCGACCAGAACGCTGCCCTGCCGGCCTGGCACCCGTGCGATCGCAGCCCGGGTTTGGGCGCGAACCGAGGACCCACGCCGGGAGCAAAGCTGAGCTGGAGCCCAGGTCTGCATCTCCAAAGAGAGCAGCGTGGCCTCAGCGTGCTCCGAGCCTGCAGCGGGGAAACGTGGTTTCTGCGGAAAACTGCAGAAGGGGTGTGGGTTTCGTCCTCTGCTGAGACCTCTGTCCCTGGTGTTCCCAAGCTGCTAGGTCAGGCATGGCCTAAGCAGCCAGCATTCACTGAGGTCCCTGAGAGTTTTACACACACACACACACACACATACACACACACATACACACACACACACACACACACACGGGTGATGTGTGCTGCTCCTCCTCCAGCACTGCTGTTATTTATGCACTTATTACAGAAATCCATTCCAAGCACACTGCAGGAAACCGGGCACTGTCCAAGTTGCAAGGAGAACATTTCTTCTTGAAACTGCTTCAAGACACTTCCATGACTGCAGATTAAACCTCCAACGCCAAAATCGGATGCTGTCTGCTACGGGGATGTGAGGGCCAAACGGCCTGCCCCGCCTCTCTCGGTGGTAGGCCCAGCGCGCTGAAGGCCTGGACTCCCGTTTCATCGGTGGGCCCTGTGTAGATGGCATATTTAAGGTCTGGTGCTGGCTGGCCGGCCGTGTCGCACTGGGCAAGGCCACCCCGGAAGAAGTTACAGGGGCTGCTCCACCTAGGTGTGCCCTCCCGCGGCTGCAGCTCGCTCCCTTTGGGCCGGGCACTGGTGTCCCGGGAGCTACAGCCGTGGGCACCAGCCGGTGGGGCTGAGCGAGGAGCTGCTCAGGAGCTCGCCCAGATGAAACGGGCCAGCCCTTTGCATGTGTGGGTTTCTGTCGGCGGAGCCTGCGGTCCCTGTGACTTAGGGTACTCATGCTCTGCGTGTGAGCTCGGTTGCACCAGCTCGGTAAATGGTTAAGTGATGCCGCCCAGAGAGACATGAGGACCATCAGGAAGGCGCGAGCCCTGCCCCAGTGTTTGCTGTCTGCCCCGCTCTCCCTCCCTCCCCTCCCTTTTTCTTCTCCTCCTCCTGCTGCTCCTGCTGCTTTCTTTTCTTCTTTTTCTCTTTCTCTTTCTTTTTCTCCTCCTCCTCCTGTCTTCCTCCTCCTCCCCCTCCTCCTCCTTCTTCTTTTCCTCCTTCTCCCCCCTCCCCTCTCTCCTCCTTCTCCCCCCTCCCCTCTCTCTTTCTCACTTGAGTAGCCTTGAAGATGCTCCTCCATTGTGTATTTCCCACTTGGACAGCATGCAGCTACAAAATCCCTGTTCTGTGCTTGAAGTTCTTTGCTCGTATCTACAGTCTGAAGGTCTGATAGTGCTGCGAGATTAAGTGAAATATTGCATGGAAAGCTTCTGAGCAACTGTACAAAGCCACGACTCCATAAACAGCGCTCTAACTAGCATCAGTGTGCCTCAGGTTGCCACCGACAGAAGGGCACTGACATGCTGGAAATAGGGACAAAGCCACTGAGGGACTTCTTAAGACTCTAAGTGAATTAATGAATTCTGACAAATAACTGTGTCTGTTACTACGCCCTGCTGGTGCCTAAGGAAGTGATATTTTGAACTAGGAACCCTTATCTCTAGTTCTCTGATAACAATGAAAAATACACAGTCCAAGAGTAAATAATTCCTAGACTTCAGGACAGATTTGCCTTCCTAATTTTCCTACCTTTACTTAAGACTCAATGTGCACATTAACGTTGTACATCATTTTGAGCACATTTTTCAAAAAGACAACGTGCATAACATTTTTGGCACATACTAGCTGCTCAATAAATTATGACTAAAGAACATGGTGGAGGGAAATAACCAGCAACATTATGAGTTCAGGTAAGCAAAAGTGATCGCTGCTTTATTAGGCACCCCAGAATTTAAACTCACTGGCTCTGGAATCAGAGCATTTGGATTCAGTTACAGCCACTACTGAGGAAGCCTGTTACTCTCTCCATGCTTTGGGTTCCTCATTTATAAAATGAGATAATCCTGGTATATCATTAAAAAGCTGGGAGACATGACTGGAATAATAACTGACCTTTAGCGGGTGGCTACTTTCCTCAAGCATGGTTCTAACTGCTCAGATTCTCAGACAGTTCCCCTTCAAAATAGTAATTCTCAATCAAGGATCCCATATTTTGCAGCTGGATCCAGTATCGTTTGTCTACAGATATTTTTCTAAGAACACACCTACAGCGTTTACATTCACAAAGAGGTCTGAATCTCAAGAACAGGTAAGAGTCACTGCCTTCCAGACTTAGCCAGAGGTTTTGGAGCAGGACGACTTGTTGGAGACCGTGTAACGCAGGCTTCAGTTCCCAAACATCTTGGGAGAACATCACCCACAGGCTGCTGAGGGCACAGATCACTCCTGAAAATTTAGTGCAGGGGACGAGAGCAGTTTCCTCCAGGGATTCCTGCCTATGAGCAAGCCATGGAAACTGAGCCCATCCAACCTTCTCATTTTATAGGTGAGGAAAACAGACAGGACAGCTCAAAGAGGCTGACGTGGCACCTCCATCCATTTCAGTCAAGCTGTCACCCCACCTGATCACAGACAGGAAAATGTCACTCCATCCTATAACCCTGGTTTACACAGGGCCACTCTTAAAATCAGTCTTCCCCAAGAGGAAAATAAAACGTGTGGCCACATCCATGTTAGCCCTT